ATCATCATCATAATAATAATAATAATAATAATAATAATAATAATAATAATAATAATAATAATAATATAGTGAATCTTGACGCGTCAAGGGGAAATATTAGGTTTTGTGGTTTTCCTTGAATTTATCAGGTTCTTCGGACCCAGCCCCAGCGTCGCCAATCGGCTTCCCTCTTGGAGAGAGTGGACCAATCAGCGACAGTCTTCGATGAATATTCATGAGTCCGAGATTCAAACCTTTGAGCGAGTTTGTCTTGGTCCACAGCATCATACCTGGGACTTTTCACAGGCACAAACTACATTTTCTTATGAATGGAAAGAGAAAAAATCAGTTCGGCTTAAATTGGGACTCATCCTTCACTGAGATCATAGAAGGAAAACAACAAAAGCAGGACAAGGGGAACCGCAAGAAGAGATGACAATGACTACAATTCCAGAAAGTCTTAATAGCCCTGCCTCAGGAAAAACCGTTTTCATGGAGTTTGGACCCTCGAGTCAACAAATGTCGCCTTCCTCCATGTCTCACGGACACTATCCCATGCACTGTTTACATTCTGCAGGTCATACGCAGCACGACAGCTACAGCCCAGCCTCGTCGTTCCCCAGATCTTTGGGTTATCCATACGTGAACTCCGTCGGCAGCCATTCCACCAGTCCATATCTCAGCACAGTACAGACCTACCAAAACAGCTCGGCGCTCACACAGACGCGGTTAGAGGATGCAGGTAAGTGTGCAACAGCATCTTTGGATCTTAAATATATCGACTTTCTGTGTTTGGCACGGCTTTCTACTGTAGTACAGTCCCCGCTGCATCGAAAAGGCGACCCAGATGTTGGAATTAGGCTTGGTAATTATTTAGGCTATTGCGTAACGCTATAAACAATGTATGCAATTAAGGGTAATTATACCTAAAGTACAGCCTGTAAAACTTGCGCTGGAGTATTCATAGCTGCGCAGCACTGTTGGCTACAACTGCCTCCTCATTTTTTTTTTCTTGCTCTTTTCTGTCTCCCTCAGCGCCAGAAGCAGAGAAAAACACAGTGGTCGAAGGCGGAGAGGTGCGATTCAACGGGAAAGGGAAAAAGATTAGAAAACCAAGGACTATCTATTCGAGTTTACAACTTCAAGCTCTGAACAGGAGATTTCAACAAACTCAATATTTGGCGTTACCGGAGAGAGCTGAGCTGGCAGCGTCGCTTGGTCTCACCCAGACACAGGCAAGTCCCTGAACGCCCCTCACACATAGCTTCACTCTGCAGCAGCACCACTGGACACTTTCACACCTTTTCAATGTCAATGTTATTCTACTTTATTATTATTATTATTATTATTATTATTATTATTATTATTATTAGCCTATTATTATTGTCGTCGTCGTTGTTGTTATTTAGGCTGCACTTCATATGGAAACAACATTCATCAAACAATAACATCATGTTCAATGGTTTTTTTATCTGAATATTATTTGCTGTCATTTATGTCTTATTATCAATTACATCTTAATACGATAATATCATAAAGGAAAGCAGGATATTAATATTCTATTGTTTTCCTTTGTATGATTAAACCTGCTGCGTGCGTAAAACGTGCGTAATTATTTTAAAACTGTCCTTCAGTCTACTCTTCAACTTTATTTTTCTACTTTCTAATCCTGATGACTTCCTTTGTCTCTCCAGGTGAAGATTTGGTTTCAGAATAAAAGGTCTAAATTCAAGAAACTGATGAAGCAAGGCGGTGGCACAATTGACGCCAATGCTTTGGCCACTGGCCGCGGACTGTCGAGCGGTTCTCCCTCGGTGGCACCTGTCTGGAGCTCGCCGACCACCGTGAAGACTTCAGTGGGGACAACCGGATCTTACATTCCCAGCTACACCTCATGGTATCCAACCACACACCAAGAGTCTATGCAACAGTCACAGCTCATGTGAACAGAGACCTCAGCCCTCGACTCTGCCATGGCTCGTGTATCAGGATGTTGAAGGGGGCCTGCAGCCGCTCAGCGCGGCCCAGCACTGATAACACACAACAACGAGAACCCCGGAGTGAGTCTGCTGCCGCACGCCGCCAGCTGACACAGTGGCCTCCTCACGCAAGGATGACGGCAAGCAAGGGATTGAAAGACTGACAAGGCACGCAATGCGCCCAAGGGCAACAAGTCCATGACAGTCAGCGGAAACCGTCGACAAATGGATCCTTTTATTGGCTGCTGTTTATCACTTTTGTGTCAGTTTCTATTATTATTATTATTATTATTTTTAAATCATATTTGTGTGAGTTATTCTGTTTATAAGAAAACACGTGTTTGTTTACACCAGATGTCGGGCCCAATGTGATGATGACCCAAAAATCAATCTGCATTCATTAACAGTTAATGGTCGATTAGGCCATAGGGGTGTCTCTTTAACCAAATAATAACGATTCATAAATCCCACTAGCAACCACCAGGCCATTATGCTTACAGTACATTCAACCAGAGCATATTGTGCGAAGCCTCAACTTACTACTATGTTGTTTATATGTGTTTGTTATTTAAGTTAAATTATTCTGATGAGTTGTTTTCTTTCTGTTGAGGTCGGTCTGTGTTCACTTTGTAAGTGTGTTTGAAATAACAACACTGTGTTGTTAATGCTGCACTAACGCAAGCAAAGCTTTTCTATGCCGTGCCCCCCGATGTTATGTGAAAAATGTAAAAGGCCTGACAATTTTGCTGCTTTAGAAAAAAAAAATATCCCGAGGGTGAGCAGCTCATTTTGTCACTGTATTTTGTACATAATTTTCAGATTTGTTTTTGTGCTGTACTGGATACGCTGTGAAACAGGGTTTTAGGCTTTCTGTATTCGTCGAGATGTGTTTAGTCAACATAGAAAATATTTAGTTTTGTATTGATCACTTTAATTTATTTATCTGTTTCTGAAGTTTATGTACAGAATGTGCAAAGTTTCAAAAGCAGTAAAATAATGATTTAAATTATGTCAAGAAAGGTGTCTGATTCAACCTCCCTCCCTCTCACCTCCTCTCCTGTGGAAAGAAAGGCTTCAGCATGGTGCACGTTTAATGCGAGCTGACACAAAGCAGTATCATGTTGGTTATTGTAGCAGACACCACGTGAGTGCGTTTGTGTTGAGCTGCAAAAAAAGGCTCGTCATTTAGATTTATGGTCGTGTTGTAGCATTCAGACTACATGGGGTTTGTGCCGCATTGCTCACGTGGTTGCAGATGTTGTCAAACCTCTGGAGTGACCCTGAAAAATGGAAATCTGATGGTGCATCTTAAAACAAAAAATAAGAGTCTCTATGTGCAAGCTACACTGAAATATCTTTACATGTGGTTCAGATACATTTTTACACTTTAAATGGAGAATACTACAATAAAAGGGGAACACAGGTTGGAGAACCGCTGGGGATCCTTTGTCCGATATGAGCTGCATCATTCATATGATTGTGATTTAACCGTCGGCGGTGCGGGAGACCTCGATTCATTCAACAACATCGCTTATTTCTTTTCAGCTTTTTTCTTAAAGATAATCTTCCTTCTATTTGTCTTCCGACAATCCCCATTTTCCGCCGTCAATGGAAGAGATCAATTGTGTGTGTGTTAAGTGAATAATTGCGCAAGAGGCAGGTGCTGCAAAAAAAAAGACTGGATGAGCAAACGACACAAGGCGGATTAGAGATCAGTGAAAGTGGAAAAGTTCAAAGGCCTTCTTGTTCGGGGTTCACACTTTATTCATTTACTCGAGTTACGCAATCTTGCAGTAAGCCTTTTGGGGTTGTTTTTTTGTATCGTAAAATGTGTTAAATTGCCACTAGTTTTGGTTAGATATAAATTCTAAAAGAACAAATGCGTTTTGTGTTTGCTTTTATCTCCCTCACGATGATTTAAAAAAGAAACTAAACTTGCCCTTGAGGCAGAAATTATATGTCCATTCAAACACTATTAAAACTGCTGATTATGCTACTAAAATAATAATAATAAAATAGAAGAATATGGAGAGAAAAAAACAAGATGAAAAAACATTTTCTGACATGTTAATGTTTTGTGCCTGAGAGGAACCAAATAATTAAAAAAGGAAATTAATTGTAAACGCGCGATATATATATATATATATATATATACACATATATATATACATATATGTGTGTGTATATATATATATATATATATATATATATACAGGTTTTTTTCAATTATAATGACACATTTTATTAAAATTGTACAAAGAGGCCAGCATGAGTCCAAAGAGGTATACATCCCATCATAACTTAATTTATAATTTATTTAATGTTTCAGACCATCATAATGGTTTATTATTACTATTCTTCTTATTATTATTTGTTGTTGTTGTTGTTGTTGTTGTTGTTGCTGTTGTTGTCTTATGAATGCTGACGCCGTTTTATCCTTATAGGCCAGTAGTGCCACACTTTAAACTGTCTTATAGCTTCGGAGGAACTAAAAAGAAAAATAATCTCTGTCCTAGTTCATCTACACTGTCTGCTCCTTGTAACATCCTCTCTGCTCTGTCTCCATTGTTGTTTTAATACAAAAAACTCAGAACATATGCAGTCCTTTGTGAACAAGCCTACATAAGTAGAACAGGGCTATGTATATGTCGATACCATTAAGAAATAATATGAATTGTGCTGCTGCTTCTGTAGCGAACATAAATCTGCCTACCTAGCCCCTAGAAAGGCGCAGCTGCACATCCAAGAGGGTCAGTGTTATTTCGCTGTATTCTCCCCTTGATTATACAAGCTGAGCCCATCAAACCCAGCATAATTACAGTAATTTCGCCCTTATTTATTCTAATGCAGTTTCCTATCTCTGAGGTAATTATGAGCATTTTTTTTCCCCGCAAGGAGGATCTTTCTGCGCTGACAAAAGAGATAGTGCTCTGAAAGAAATTTGCTGCTGCAATAGAGAGAGAGAGAGAGAGAAAAAAAGCGAAATAGGTGAGCTGCCATTTCGTCACTGTTCCCTTAGACTTAGCCTATGTATAAGGCTGCCAAATTGCTTGCAGGTGTACATCACCGAGTTGTCAATGCGAAGAGGCTTCAAAATTAGCAAAGCACAATGTAAGAGTAATGAGAGCAGCGACTGAATTAAAGGAGAACTTGTGTGTCTCCCATTCCTTACATTTCCTCTCGGTGTGAACAGATTTTCTGACTTTTTTCCAGCTCTTTGGTTGCTTTTTTCTTTTCTTTATTTTATTTTAACTAAAGTTACAGTGTAAAAATGTTTAAAAAAGATCTTTACTCTTAAGGAACCTGTCTTTGAAAATAGTTTTATAAAATCATCAAAGAATCAGCAGCATTCACCGATATGACTGAGAATAAAAATAAATAAATACTGCAGGCGTGGAAATAAAAAAAGAAATTGATAAATTGTGCCTGCACCGAGAATCAACTCATATTTCCTGTTTTTTTTAATGATCTCAAATACACTCAGTCGCCACGCTGCTGCTTCTTTTTTTTTAAACGAATATTTCAGAAATAACGTTTTTTAATACGCACCTATCGGCTTGAAAAGGAAGAGGCGAGCTCCCACACAGGATCCCCAGACATCAGCATGGAGGCAGATGCAGCACAGACACACAAAAGATGAGCGCTTAAATCCCACAAAATGTGTCCCATGTGTTGGTCTAAGCTTATAGCAGCAGAGTTCAGAATATGACTGAAAATGTCTGCTTTATTTCCCTCTCTTTATAGCTGATGGGGAAAAAAATGTAGATTATTAGCATAAATGTTTACTCCTCATTACGCTGATGACATTGTGCACTCGAGATCTTGGTAATCTTTGGGGGAAATTATGAGTAATTTTTTAAAATTTAAAGCAGCAGTTACCATGCAATTCAGCCTAATTCTGCGTAGGCTCCACACGGATATAATTATCGTTGAGTCAAGATGTTAGGCTAAAAACTATGCATTGATATTCCCATTTATTATGTACATAGGACTTTGACAATGTTGATGCTTGAAATAGCAGGAAATTGTCTTGTGTAAAAAATAATACCCCATATTAGGACATCTAAAATTGCGAAGAATTATATAGTAATTGCAGGCTTTCAGATTTGAAAGCCAGAATGCTCAAACCAGAGCAAATGCGGTTGAAATTACAGATCAGGGTATAAATTAGGAAAGGGGGTATGGCATTTACAAGTTGCCTAGAGAAATGCAAAAGTATACAGCACAGTAGCTCTGGAGCAACAGAACACATTTCGGAAATCCCTTTATTTTATGTTATTTTGTATTGGAAAGAAATCGATAAAATAGTGCCTATATAAGTATTATATTCATAAATATGTACAGCTGGTGAAGGCCTATAAGGCAGAAGTGAATATCTAGGAGAAATACAGGTTAATATTGTGTAATTTCAACCCATAGTGCAGTGATACATGCACTTACACTCTCTGGACATTACAAATCGAATCAAATGGCCCCACACGAAAGGTATGGGCCCGGATCCATGCAGATGTGATGTGTTGTTGTTGTTGTTTTTTTTTTGCAGCATGCATGGGATCTGCTCCTGTCAGCTCCAGGGAGGAGGCTCCATCATGGAGATACAGCAAGCAACCGCTGACAAGCTGCAGTCCTAATTATGTACAAGGAAACGATCCCACTTTATGGCCCGTGGTCGTTTGAAGGGAAGCGTGTGGGATAGACAGTGATGATCATGAATGAGAACTAAGTGATGTGACTGTGTATTAATAATAACCCCCCCACACACACACACCACACTACCACCTACTATTCTATCTATCTCTATCTATTATCTATCTTATCTATCTATCTATCTATCTATCTATCTATCCTATCTATCTATCTATCTTATTATCTTGATATGTTCAGAAATAACCCTTAATAAAAGAGCTTAAATTAAAATGAAAATCAAAACAGGCCTTCCTGGCTGCAGTACATTTTTACTTTTTCTGGACGTGTGCCTTGTGTTTTTCCATGTAGCCTGCAGGCCTTACATGAGCCAAGTAAATAATGTAGGTCAATCTGCTCGTCTTCGGAGATCAGGATCTTTATCGTTGGAGACGTGGAGAAATGTTTCCAATGATGTTGTAGCTCCAGGCTGTCTTGGACCTATGTTCCCTCTCTTTTTCTCTTGTTAGGCTGAGTTCATAAAACGTCTGGAAATGCAGCTCTCCGACTCCACAGAGTCTGTGCTTTGGTGCTCATTCATACCCACCCTCATCTTCCCCTCTCGCATGCCATAGGCGTGTTGTTTGTTGGTTGCCTCCTCCCCCCCCTCTCCCCCTCCTCCTCCTCCTTCCTCCTCGCTCCTCCTCCCCTCCACCGAGCCTGAGCCCCGGGCCTCTGAGTCTCCCTCTGCCCGCCTCAATGAGCCCCGGTTCGGCTAATCGCCCGCTGACGGAGCCGGATAAAATAATTTTTAACCCGAGACTGCTGAGGAATTTGTTTAAGCTTGTCCACACTTGTGAAAGCACCTTAATGTGTTTGTAATCGAGAAACAACATATTATTAGATAAGAAATGGCTTTTAATCACCGGCTAACGTTGGCCTTAAACGTAAACGTCCGCTAGATTAAAGCTAACGTGGTTGCTAAGCAACACATCAATAAGCTATCGTAATGAACCAGGCTATTGGTTTAGTTAGCTACAGGTGTGCGTTTATCCGCTCTTTTTAAAGAAAGTTTTAGCCTTGTACAACCACAATACAGCTAAATAGAGTTTAAATAAATCACTGTAACATGTTTGTGTCAGTCTGGACCCATTATTTTCTTAGCTCACTCAATTTGTAATAGCATTTAACAAGCTAAGGTATGTTGACGTCTTGTAGCTGATGTTAAAGACAGTTGACTCTCACACACTCGCCAAGCATTCATTGTATGCTTTAAAACACGTTATTATTCATTGTATTCATTGTTATTAAAGCAAGTAAGAAGACAAATTCTCCGCATGCACTCATAAATGGTTGTTAGGAAGGAAAAAGAGAAATGCATATGCACAGAAAACATTTTATTTAAATAACGTCTGGCCATATATGGAGCACTGCTAAAATAAATAAGACAAAAATACAATTAAATGTGATACAGGTAAATCAGAGGGTAGGACAATCAGTAGCTTACGGTGGTTAATTAATAGATTTGCACCAATAGCATTAAAAAAATCAAAGCGACATGGGCTATCAAAATAAAACAAAATAAAAAAGATGTGGCAAAATATTTACAAACGTGGATTCAGACACTTACCCCCCAGTTTATTCAAATCAATTAATGCCATGAGGAATGGATGAAGGTAAGCTGTTTTTTATCACAACAAAATGAGGTCATGTTGAAAAAGGCACGATACAGTTAACTTGTGCTACATTTGTGACAGGTTGTCCTGCGATTAATGTTTTATTTTGCAGGAATGGCAAAAAAAGTGACGTCCGCGTAAAAGTAGGCTTGTGCCAGGCTGTGATTGCTTTGGGTAATAGTGGTTCATTCATCCCTCGACATAAACAAAATAAATAAATACAAAAATAACTGTAGAAATCTGTGTCTACCATTGGTCCATGAACCTGTCTGGCTCCATTAACTTCTCCTAGATGCTTTTTTTTTGCGTGTAAAGTTCGCATGGAGCCCACACGAGGTCTGTAAAATCAAGGTATTGGCATTTGTCTGCTGTTTTTGTTTGCTTTCACCAGTATCGTCCGATTTAAACCCGATGTTTGTTTGTTTTGTTATTCAGAATATCGTCCCAGCGCTTATGGCGGAGTTGTGGTGGTGCTGGACCAGAGGAGGCTGCAGATGCGCCGCAGAGTTCGTGGTTGAGTACCAGGAGTAGTTTGCCAAAAAGGATGAAGGCGTGTTGGGAGGGCTGCTGCTCTGAGGTAAACTGGAGTTGACACTGTTCATTCTTTGAGTCTGTGGAAAGTCCCAGGCAGTAACTGGCGGAGACGTGCAGGGGGGAGATTCACTGGAAGCAACATGTTGCTCTGGGGGGATTTCTCCACTTTTCCATAACTTCTTGAACTTGGAGCGGCGGTTTTGGAACCAGATTTTGACCTGAGAAAGAAACGGATACAAGCATAAAATTGATTAGCCATACATTTCCCGGCTCAAATCCCCATTTGACAGTTTTTAATTTATTTTCAGTGTTAAACACACATTGGATATTTGACAGTGTATGAACCCACCTGTGTTTGCGTAAGGCCCAGCGAGGCTGCCAGCTCGGCCCGTTCTGGTAGAGCCAAATACTGCGTCTTTTGAAACCTCCGTTGAAGTGCAGCCAGTTGGAAGCTGGAATAAATGGTTCGAGGTTTTCTGACCTTCTTTGGTTTTCCATTTACCATCCGGATTTCTGGCTCGCTCTCTTCTTTCTCTGAGGAAACATTCAAATGTTGTTGACGTTATGCGTGAAGGACGCGGCCATTTGTGTGGTTGCATTGAGATATTACGCATTTTGTTTTTAGTTTTTAAATAAATATGTGTAGCCTACACCTAATGATTCATTAGATTTTTTTTATCATATTGTAATATTATAATACCGAGAAATTAGAAATAGTCAAAGCTTGCTTGAGAGTTGTGTTTAAAAATAAAACAATTGAATAGTCACTATCAATGTTTTGTGCGCATCTGTGCTGTGTGTCCAATCATTTCTGACCACATAAAAATTGTGTGGTCAAATATGTGTTGTGCATGATTCAACTTGTTTCTCGTACATTGTATGCCATAAGCAAGTTTTGAAATTTGGTGCATTAACCGAATTTAAATGTAGCCTATTAAAAAGAACAACTGAAGAGCTTTCTTACCTGTATCGGCTGGAGTAGGAGAGGGGTTGGAGCCGTAGGAGCTGTATGCACCATAAGATGAGTTGAAACCGAGGTCGTATGACTTTGCGTTGTATGGCACAGTGCTCGTGGCGCTGCCGTGGTACTGGTAAGAGCCGAGTTGGCCAAATGGAGACCCTGCGCAGTGGCCAGGCTGTTGGCTGTTGTAATAGCTGCTGTCCGTCGCCGTGGACACTGGTAGAGTCGGGGACTCCTGCGATTTGTGCAAGCTGTGGTAACTGCTTGAGGTAATCTGGTTCGAATGCATATCAGTATTTAAGTTCTCAAAAACCCCGGTCATCTTCGAGCTGGAGCGGAGCAATCTCGTAACCTATGCGCAAAAAAACCCCAAATTGCGAAGCTGCAAGTTGAAAACACGACTCAAATCTTGGACTGATGACACCTTTCCGTGAATCGAAACGCATCCCCGTGTAAACTGTGGCAAAATCAGCGGAAGGTGTGTCGCTCTCGCAGTGGCCTGTGATTATCTGCTACGGTCGGTGGTGGGAGCGCATTTATGAGAGAGTGAGAGGGAGAGCTACTGTGTCTGAGGCAACCAATGAGTAAGGGCTTCAAGACTGACTACTCCCCACCGCGTCCACCCTCCATTATTTGTTCAGGTCTGTCTGTCCCGGGTGTCTGCAGAGAGTTTTCCATCAAAGCATCTCAAAAGAACTAGAGAAAGGTACCGTGACCAACAGGCCCACTGCTCTTGATCCCATAACACACTCTGGAGTTATTCATCAATGTGTGCATATATCTGGAAGATATAACGTGACTTAACAACATATGGAGAACATGTACTACACATCAAAGGGCACCATTAAATTGGCTGTTAGTCCTCTTCATTTTAATTTTACGCATGTCAAAATATCAGATTTATATCCGTTTTCAGCACATTGTGGTAGCTTTGGTGCAACTGCGGGGCATTTTTATGTAGCCTACTTCTTGATTACATTTTTGTCTAAATCAATCAATCAATATATTATTATATAATATATATAATATTAAGTGACACTTACAAAACGAGTCGCAGCCCTACAGAGAAAGAGAGGGACACGGGGTGGGTCAAAGGGGGATTTAAAGGTGTTGATTCAAAATCAAACCGTATGGATGATGGTGAAGGTTGTGCTGGGTGACCACAGGAAACAGCTACAGCGCCCCCAGGTGTTAGAAATCTGACCTACAGCGCTCTTTTCCCCTTTTGAATTTGATTGTGTCTGCATTGGGGGCACAACTGACAGATGAACTGCCTTATAAACAAACTCCCTTCACAACTATGGATCACTGTTACACCTTCACAGCCCAAAGTGCTGATTGTCCCACGTTGTGATGCGTTCACTTGTCCGGGAGTACAGAGGTTTGTGTGCCGACTGAGTTATTGAGGGTGTGTTCATCGCCACAAGATGGCAGCATAGTTCCTTTTATTAACACAACCGAGCTTGAGTTTCCCCTAATGCCACTGTATGTATTGATCAGCCTAACCTGGGAATAGACCGGACCAGACAATATCATGGATATACAGGATGTGACAACACTTTTACAATCCAAATTATCTAAATCTAGTTGAATCCTATTGTCATGAAGCTGTTTCCACAGAGTAGTCCTCTGTAAATTGGTGGAATGCTCTTTTTAAATGCTTTAGTCTGGAAAAACCTTTTGCAGTTTGTGTTCAGTCTATAATTATTCATTTTGATCTGTTTCAGTGCATGTTGTTATTTTCCTTTATTCTGCCCATTTGTCAGTGAGGGCATGATGAGTTTTCTCTGGCAGCTCTGCGGCAGGACCTCTACATCCAGTCCAGGGAGGCTTCTATCTTCCCATTGTTCTCCTGAAAGGGAAGCAGTCCTCTCCCACCATGGGCCAGAGGGGCTGCATGTCACTGCTCATTAGTGAAGCACAGTCTCTGTATTCAGCTGCCTGGCATCAGAGCCAGAATGAGGAAAAAACTCTCCAGTCACGGTCACATAGAGGCTGGACATTTTTTTTTTCTCTAATTGATTATTTTCATTGTTAAAAATTGAAGTCATGTGAGCAATTATCTTGTCTATTCAGGATTCTTTTCATGGGGTTGTCTGATGGCCAGTGAATTTTTGTCATTAACAGTAACTGTGACCCTGTATGTCAGTTCAGAGGAGCTCAAGTAGAAAACAGCTTCAAAGGTTGAAGAAATTCCTTTGGTGAATGCACAAGTCATCAGATGTTCAGGTATTGGTCAGAGAGGATTTCACAACATAGTTCCACAATCTCAGAGTTCACAGTCAACATCAGGATGTGCCAAAATGTTCATAACAGCTCTAGTTACACGGTTCTTATCATACATTTTCTTTCAGCCTTTCATGAAATAGATGGTTTTTATTGCTACTCAAGTTCTTGACAGTCATGCCCAGTTGGTTGATAATAATTTGGATGTTTTCTCCTCTGCTGCAGAGCAGCTGGTATAGTGGCTCTTCCCAGTGTTCAATGGCACGGAAATGATGCCAAATAACAGGACACAGACGTAAGCCGGGTTTATCACGCATTCCAAATTAGCATTTTTACAGGAGCGCCTCCTGACTTGGCCTTTAGCACACCAGTCAGGCAGCTTTACATATGTATTCAGCATCTTTTTACCAGCTCATATTGTCTCATCATTGTTTATTCCCCGTTTAAAAAAGGACTAAACTATATTGCGCATAATAGAAGCACATCTCTTAGTCTTTTCTAGGCTATCAATAATGTAGCCTGATCCTTATTGAAATGGACATCAATTATTTAACATCCTTGAATGAAATTTGGCAAGTTGCCACACATGATTAAAGATGACCTAAAAATGACCGTCAGTTCATCATGCTTGTGCCATGTTTAATCCCTTGTATGAACGTTTTCCATGATCATGTTTAAACTTCATGAGGAAATTTGAGTAGAAAGTAGGATGTGACAAAGTGACACAGAGAACACAAGGTATTGAATCAAAAGTTTGCAAACAAGCAAAAAAAAAAAAACATCTCATGGCCGTATTGAAGACTTTCTTGCTATATACAGTATATAACATAGTCCATATAATTATAAGGTAGCCTGTTGCACTCAACAATGGATTGCAGCCTATACATAATTACATCCTCTCTGTTCCCATTGTAAGGATGTGAGGAGTGCTCATAAAAGGTCAACACCAACTGGTATTGACATTTTGTCTTCAGGAATCAAAGTGCACAAAACAGGAAGTCATTGTGAAAGATAATAACCCTGGCATTTTGAGGAGTTATTGATCTTGAGCATCTGTTATCTTCTTTTTTTTATGTGTGTGTGTGTTGCAGAAGCTCAAAAGGCAAACAAAAGCTGAGATCTTTTCAATGACACACCATTTGCACTCTGTGGGTTGAGGTTTCAGAAATCAACATATCACTCCATGACCGCAGAGTGTCTACTGTCTGTTGACAATGACAATGGCGCCACCCAGTACAACACTTACAATACAATCAGCAGTGCAGGAGTGCAGCCACAGGGAGAGGACAACTCTTCCCACCCAGAACGGTTATTATTAACTTATTTATTTAGATACAAACTACTATGGATTCCAGGTCATAAAGGAAAGTCTAAAATCCTAAATAAACCCGCTGAGATGTTAATTTCCGTGTGTTGTGCTTCTGCAGAATCCATCATGTGAAGAACAATGATAATGATGATGATGTTTTAATGATCTTTGTGGAGCTGACAGACGTACACACACACACACTACTACTACAGAGACAAAGGTTATACTTCACACTAACACTTCACAGCCCAAAAGATTTACTGCAAAGATTGTTCTGCAGCTTTTGGTTTTCATTATTTAAAGTCTTGTTTGCTTTTGTTATGTATGTGTGGCCACCATCTTGATTAGTGCATGCAACAGATTCTCCAAAAAAATAGGATAGGATAAAATGTGAAACTGGGAATATTGACTAATTTTGAGATTTATTACTTTATAAAAGTGAGTGAACCAGAAGTATAGTTTTCTATAGCTAATAATAACACATCAAGTGTTGACTGAGTATATTATATATTACAGTAAGTATATTTCTTGTAGCCACAGTAAAGTACTGTTTTAGTTAACAGTTATCAATATGATGATTTTTAGTGGGCTACTCTAAGTTGTATGTGTCTATACTGGCATTATTTTGGAATACATGGTTAATTGTGTTTCCACTGTTCCCCCTAAAGCTTTAATAATGCTTGCACTAAAGGTATTACAGTGCTCAGGGCCAATAGGGCAGTAATGTTGTGTTTTATACAGGCACTGTTTCTAGCTCAGTATTCTGGCTGTTGGTGGATTCTCTTCGCTGATCTCCTGCTGGGTCTGTTGGAGCATTCATCACCTTGGCAACTCGCCCTTTTAGTCAGATCACATTACTGCAAGTTTTTCAGCTTTGGCTTAAAAGTTTAAATACCTCCATGAAATGCTTCCAAACTAACGTAAACTGTAGGGGGTTTACACAACTTGTTTTTTTTTAAGCATTAGCCTAAAACACAGAGTCAGCAACTTAACCTTGCAAACATGGAAATGATTTACTAAGTGTTTCTTGACCTCTCCGTCTGAAAGGTTGAGCGTGGACTGCATGGCTCTGGACATGAGTGCAGTTGAAGTTGGAAACCATCAGCACGGTGTTCATGATTGAGCATGTGTTTCCTAAGAATTAGTCATGGTGGCTTTTCTTTTCCCCTGGAGTGAAGTTATTTTTAACAACAAAGGACTTAATGACGAGCACAGGCAGACAATAACAATTGGAAGGAAGTGTTCAGTTTTGAGCGCACAGCAGATGTGAGGTTCATGTTTGATACTCCACAATGGGAAGAATGGTGTTAAAGATCACTGTTAATGTTGTTTAGCTGCAGTCAACTAATAAAGCATATGTACTATTTTACACTACAGCGTTAAAAGGTCCATTCAGGAGAAATATTATAGGTATGTTTTTATTAGCGTATAATCGCTGCAAAATAGGAATGTTTGAGTTTTTGTTACCTTAGAAGGAGACGTTTTTATCTAAAGACGCTGCAGGTTGCCTTCCGTGGATGCCCCCATGTTGAACCATCATGTTTCTACAGTAGCCCAGAAGGGACAAAGCAAACACTGGCTCTAGATAGGACTGTTTGTACTTGGGAGAGAGTTGCAATCTGCAACTTAACCACTAGATGCCACTAAGTCCTACACACTCCTTTAATATACTCAGAAAAAGATGAATAAAAAACTCATCTTTTTCAACCTCATGTTTATGCTCCTTTTTTAGATTTGAACAACTACATCGTCCTCAGCAGTTTGAAACATGCTCACAACCTCTGAGGCTTATGAAAAAATATAAAAACTTCCACTGAAATGAAATAAAAACAACTCTACACATTTCTTGGTTCCTCATAAAAATTGTGGTTTCAGTACCAACTCAAGTAAATTCCCCGCCTGCAGTATAGCCTGATTGTCATGACATCCTAGAGGGAATTCCTTCGTGCTGAAGGAAAAATG